TTTTTTTTTTTTTCCACCAATACAGATTGATGCCAAGAGACAAACTTCTCAAGGAATCTGAGTAAGCACATTCAGCTTGCATCAAACTAAGAAACAAGTGATATATGGATAGGTGGCAGCAAAGGGAGGCTAGACAAAGCCAGGGCTGGGGCTGGACAATGGACAGAGGCTTCCAGAGACCTCATTGGGCTTTTTTTTTTTTTTTTTCATAAGCCAGGCACAGCTGAGTCCAGAAGCTGCAGGGACTGGACTGCCTGGTTGGAATGCCTCCTTAGTAGCCCCTCAGAGGTGGGCTGAATTTAACCACAGTTCTAAGACTGTAGAAATGTCCACCTGCCAGAGGTGTAGACAGATGAACCAAATATATAAATAAGGCCCCAGAGGACTCAAATAAGAGGAAGATGGTTGGGAATTTTCATGGGAAAATGGCTTCTTGGATGCTGGGACTGGAGCCTTGTCCATCTACCTATGACAATTTGCCTGTCTGAAATCCTAAAATTCCCAGTATCCCTCTACACGGTCTTTAAATCTATTTAAAATAGGTTATGTATGGCGGCATTTCCCAAACTGGTGAATGTTAATATATGTCTCAGAAAAAAAGGGAGTCAAATAAGTTTGGGAAATGCTGGTGAAACCAAGTTAAACACATTTCATTTGAGTAGGACTTTGCAAAACCTTGAATCTGCTAATATATGTTGTGAATCTGTAAGAAGGGGATATAGTCTACAGCATTTTCCAAACTTACTTAACTGTAGAAATTGGTTTCCTGCCCACCTATTTACATCTCTCTGAACGTCATCCCACGGCATACCATTTTGGAGACACAGGTTTGAGATAATGCTATTTTCACAGGAAAACTATTAGCTGGTTAACACCTCTTTTTTTAAACAAATATTTTATTTATTTGAGAGAGAGAGCACGTGCACACGAGTATGCACACAAGTGGGCAGAGGGGCAGATGGAGAGGGAGAGGCAGAGAATCTCAAGCAGACTCTGTGCTGAGAGCTGAGCCCAATGCAGGACTTGATCTCATGTCCCCGAGATCATGACGTGAGCCGAAACCAAGAGTCAGACACTTAACCAACTGAGCCACCCATGTGCCCCCAAGTTAGCACCTCTTATCATGCATTGTAACTTAACAAAGGGAGGATCAGGAGACCAGATAGGAAGTGGCACATGAGGGCAGTTTTGAGGATAAGAGGAAGAAAATAAGATCATAAAGGAGGGCCAGAGACTAAAGAGGTTACAGTTAGGTCTCAGGTCAGCCTAGCGCAATTCAAGGATAGTGGTGTTAAATTCCAGATGGAGGAAGTCAGAGATTATCCTTACCTGATTTGTAATTTTTCTTAGCCAGCGCTAGTATCAATACCTCTAGAAGCTAGAGCGTGGCCAGGAGAATCACTGAATTCGAGAATCACTGCAATCTCCATATTAGAGATTTGGGTGAATGGTTCCTTTTATAGCGTTTCATCAGTGATGGCCCTTGACCCCATTTCAGAGTTGAGATAACTAAGGGCAGAGGGCTGATGCCACTCATCTGATGCCCCAACAAAGCCACTCTTCTTTCTGCAACCCCACCATGAAGTCTTTGACAGACTGCAGGGAGGGAGAGTGAAGTGTTCTAATGACCCCTTACTCACTTACTTGAGAATCACACAGCCTGTTCCTGCTGGTGGCGCTATCCAGAACACCTGGATCCGTGTCCTCCTCCGTGGGGTGCTTTCAGTGACCGCGACGGGGCAGTTACTCATAAACTGTGTTTCTTCTTCATCTATGATCTATGGAAAGTAAACACATTAAAATGCAATGTCACTTTGGGAAGGCTCTTTCTTAAGTTTCCGAGCTGACACTTCCTTAATTTTATTTTTAAACCTGTCGTTGTGTGTTAGCAGCTCTATATCCCCAGACACCAGAATAGTGCCTGGTATAGAGTTCCAGTCGATGCTTGTTGAATTAACATGAGGGCAAGGATTTGGCACATGTGCTCTGCTCTCTGGGACCAGGATCTAGTGTCAGCACTTTGAGGAACAGGCCACTAGGTGATGATCTTGCTTATTTCACTATCATAACCGGGTCCCACTTCAGGGGAGGAGGAAGAGGAGGAGGAGGAGGAGGAAGAGGAGGGGGAGGGCATAATCCAAAGCCAACACTCTCTAAATAGCTAAAATCTGTAATTCAGCTACAGTTTTAGAACTTGAAATCGAAATGCTAAAAGAAAACACCCCTTTGGAGGAAGTCCACCAAAGTACATAAACTCCATCCCAGCTTCATGGCATTGTTTACTCGGCAGTCTCTACCTCCTGAGTTTGTGCATTGTGTTGGTGTTCTCCCAAGTTAACCATCAAGGTTTCCTTGGACATTGCAAAAAAACTGGTAGCCATTCCCATTCCCCAAGACTGGTTCAGCATTTCTCCGTTTGCTTCTGGGTCTGCTGCCAGAATTTGCTTATCCCTCTAGTACTATTACAGACTGTTAGACCTGGAAGGATCCCTTGGGGGAAATCATCTAAATCCAATAGGTCTTAAGCGCCAACTCCAATTGATTGGAAGTAGCTGTGTCATGAGTAGTGCTAATAACAATAACGGATAACATTTATTGAGTGTTTAGTATGTGCTAGGCACTAAGCTAAGTGCTTTATCTGAATTACTCATTTAATCTTCAAATACAATTTAATAAGATAATATCCATATTGTATTTATTTTACTTTTAAAAATTCATATTCCTTTTAAGACGGCAGGTAAAAAAAAATGAAGTCACTCAAACTCCTTAGTTCATCATATATTTTTATCCCCGGACAAAGCAAAAGCAATCTTCTATTATATTTTATTTAATCTATATTCTTTATCCTACTCCCACTTATACACGTCCTCCTGAGTGTGTGTGTATATATATAAACATACATATGTTTATATAATACATAATGTATATATAAAATATGTGTGTATATATATATTATGTATATATATATTATGCATATATATATACACATATATATGTAACTCACTTGAAGTTACATAGAATTGTTTTGTGTTTTAATGTTTCTTTCACTTAATCTTATGCTTTTAAGATACAGGTTTCCCCCACTATCTGAAAGTAGAGCATACCTATGAAATCTTTTGTAAGCTGGAATGGTATAAACTGAAGAAGCAGTTACCATGAATTCATATGGAAAATTTTTTGAGTGTTCCCAGACCCCAAAAATAACCTCTCTTAGGCTTTTCTGATACCTTAGGACACATCTTGCAAACAGATGCATAAAATAAATCAAGATAAAACCCAGATGTTCACAGACACAGTTCAAAGCTATGTGGGGCTTAATGCTGAGATGCTGAGTGTAGTATAGCATTATTTCTCTTGCTGCTCAGGTGTGCGCTGCCTTTAAACAGCTCACTGCAAAATAAATGCTGAGTGCTATTTTCACTTTTTGCCTTTTTCATAAAAGTGAAAATCCTCTTTGGATTTCTTTCAGTTGTGAAAACAGGTACTAGTGTAGGTCTTCCATAAAAGCAAAGTGGCATAACATGAACTTTCATAAAAGTGGGGATACCTGTATGTCAAAATTACTATATGTGAATGTAATTCATTGCTTCTGACTGCAGCCTAGTATTCCACTGCATGCATAGACCACATTTGACTTATCCATTCTCCCTGTGAGGCACAGTCAGCTGACTTCCAGATCTTTACCTCCACAAACACTGCTGCAATGAAGCTCTTCATGCTGCTCTACTTGCAAACCCACATGAGAGCTTCTCAGCAATATAAACCATGTAGTGGGAGGTTCACCCAGAGGTTCGTCTTACTTTTGGAATTCTTCATTCAACAGAAATAATTTTCATCTAGTCAAATTCGTCAATTTCTCTCCTATGGCTTGCACTTTTGTGGTCTTGCCTTAAAAAACAGACCACTAAGATATTTTCCAGTATTTTTTTCCCCATTAGCTTTATAATTTTACCTTTCACATTTAGGTCTTCTATGCATTTAGAGTTTATTTTTTAATAAAATGGAGTAGGGCTCCAACTCCATTTTCTCCACACTGTGAGCTACTTTAAAAAGTAATAAACTTAATTTTTAAGAGCAGTTTAGGTTTATAGCAAAATTGAGCAGAAAATGCAGAGGGTTTCCATAGACCCCCTGTCCCCACACATGAACAACCTTCCCTATTATCAACATCCAGCCCCAGACTGGTACATTTGTTACAGCTGATGAACCTACATCAACATATCATCATCACCCAAAGTCCAGAGTTTACATGAGGGTTCACTCCTGGTGCTGTTTATTCTATGGGTTTTGACAAATGTATAATGACATGCATTCACCACTGAGGTTTCATAGTATTGTACTGAATAGTGTCACTGCCTTAAAAATCCTTGGTGCTCTGCCTATTCATCCTTCCCTCCCTCCAATCCCTGACAACCAGTAATCTTTTGTTATAATTGCTTATTAGTTCCAGGAGGTTTTTTGTTGATTCTTTCAGACTTTCCTATGTAGACAATCATGTCATCTGAGAAAAGAGTTTTAATTCTTCCTTCCCAATCTGTATACATTTTATTTCCTTTTCTTGTCTTATTGCATTATCTAGAATTTCCAGTGTAATGTTGAAAAGTAGTGGTGAGAGGGGATATGCTTGCCTTGTTCTTGATCTTATTGAGAAAACTTCAAGTTTCTTACCAGTAACTATGCTATTAGGAATAGGTTTTGTTTGTAGATGTGCTTTATCAAGTTGAGATATTCCTCTCTATTCCTAGTTTGCTGAGGGTTTTTATCATGAGTGGATGTTGGGTTTTGTCAAATGCTTTTTCCACATCTATTGATAATGATCACATTTTTCTTCTTTAGTCTGCTGAAGTGATGGATTATGTTAATTGATATTTAAATGTTGAACCAGCCTTGCATTACCTGGGATAAATTCCACTTGGTTATGGTATATATTCTTCCTGTACATTGTTGGATTTGATTTGCTAACATTGTGTTGAGGAATTTTGCATCTATATTCATGAGAAATAGAAGTCTAGAGTTTTCTTTTTTTGCAAAGTCTTTGGTTTTGGTGTTAGGGTGACACAGGCATCATAGAGTGAGTTAGAAAGTAGAGTTTTGGTATAATTTCTTCATTAAATGTTTAATGAATTAAATTAATAAATTAAATGAATTGGTAGAATTCATCAGTGAACCCATCTGGGTCTGGTACTTTCTGTTTTGGGGAGATTACTAATTATTGATTCAATTCTTTAATAGATATAGACCTATTTAGATTGTCTATTTCTTCTTGTTTAAGTTTTGACAGATTGTGTCTCTCAAGGAATTGGGTCTGTTTCATGTAGGTTATCAAATTTGTGGGCACAGAGTTGTTCACAATAGCTCTTTATTATTCCTTTAGTGTCCATTGGATCTATAATAATCCTCCTTCTTTCATTTCTGATATTAGTGATTTTTGTCATTTTTTTTTTTTTAGTTAGCTTGGCTGGGGGCTTATCATTTTTTTTGATCTTTTCAAAGAGCCAATCTTTTGGTTTTGTTGGTTTTCTCTATTGATTTCTTGTTTTCAATTTCATTGATTTCTGCTCTCATTTTCATTACTTCTTTTCCTCTGCTTACTTTGGATGTAATTTTCTTTTCTTTTTCTAGGGAGGAAGCTGAGATTATTGCTCTTATATCTTTTTCTTTTCTAATATATACATTCAGTGCTACAAATGTCCCTTAAGCATTGCTTTTGCTGCATTCCACAAATTTTGATAAGTTGTATTTCCATTTTCATTTCATTTAAAATATTTTTAAAGTTCTTTTGAAATTTCTTCCTTGATCCATGTGTTGGTTAGAAATGTGTTGTTTATGGGGATTTTCCAGCTATCTTTCTGTTATTGATTTCTAGTTTAATTTCATTGTGGTCTGAGAGCAGACATTGTATGATTTCTGTTCTTTTAAATTCGTTAAGGTGTATTTTATGGTCCAGAATGTGGTATATCCCAGTCTTATAATTCCAACATCTCTGCCATGTCTGCTTCTTATGCTTTCTCTGTCTTTCCAAATTGTGGTTTTTTTGCCTTTTAGTAGGCCTTTTAATTTTTTGTTGAAAGGTAGATATGTCGTTCTGGGTAAAAAGAATTGAAGTAAATAGGCGTTTAGTAATGTGGTGGTAAGGTGTTGGGGAGGGGAAGTGTTCTCCAGTGCTGTGAACTCTGGGACAACCACTAAAAAAGCAAATAAAAAAAGGAAATATAATTGATTTGCTAAGAAAAGAGAGAAAATAGAATCATATAAAAATGGTCAAAGACAAAAATGACAGAAGTGTGAAAGACAAAAATAAAAACAAACAAAAAGGTAAACAGAAAACAAGTATGGCAAATATTAATCCAGCTATATCAATAATCGCCTTAAATATCAATAGTCTAAATATACCAACTAAAAGATTGTCAGAGTGAATCAAAATCAAGACCTTGATATGTTGTCCACAAGAAACCCACTTTAAATATAAAGACACATGTAATTAAAAGCAGAATGATAGAGAAAGATACACAGTGCTAACACTAATTGTAAGAAATCAAGAGTAGCTATATTAATATCAGACAAAGCAGACATCAGAGCAAGGAATGTTATCAAGCATAAGAGGAGCATTACAAAATGATAAAGGGGTCAGTATTCTAAGAAGACATACTAATCCTTAGTGTGTATGCACCTAACAAGAGAGTATCAAAATATGTGAGGTGAAAACATAAAATTCAAACAGAATTTGAGTTCCTGGAAGTAAAATTCAAAAATTTTGTCCCTCATCCCCACCCCAATG